ACAAGTAATTTTAAAAAATCGCAAAATAAAGCAAAAACTCTCATCACCTCGATCCAAATGAAGACTATCAGATTTTTCCATTGTTTCTGGCACTCAATAAATGCACACAAATCTATAGCAAATATTCCATGATGTGCACTGAGTATTATCAACTTGTTTAACGGAAACTTCTACGAAAATCAGATTTATCAGCCCACAGTCCCGCTAATCCAATGACCGAAATCGTCAATTCAACCTGAAATATTACGCATCAACTCAATTCAATCTCATGAGGTTCCTCATATAACGTGGTGAATCTCTTCAAAATGGTATATGTTACTCAGAAGGGCTAACTTATATGAATTTATGGATGTCACCATTTGGAATCTGATTCACAAAAACTAATGATCATACGACTTGATTCATAAAATGCAATCGATTGAGAGAAATCAAAATTTGAAGCGAAATCAAGCGCTATCGATACAGAGATATTATTAGCACGTCAAGAACACTTTATTCACTTCACTTTGAAAGTTGATGACAACGACAGTAAAGACAACTGGAATTATAATAACAACAATGATAACACCAACGAATATTTATAAAGAAGCGGTGAGGAAAACTGAAAAATGGCTTGATAAGAACATAAGCCGCCATAACCACGAACACAATAGCAATGAAAGAAGATCGATTAACATTTATATACAAACATGTCTCATAGATTTCTTATGCTTGTAAAAGATGAGCTATTACAGTAGTGATACATATGATCAGTGATAAACTAATAAAATCACATCAACAATGAAGATTAAAATAATAAATATATTCAATCACAAGGCAATCCATTCACTCGTCGTAATCAAACAAAGTGTTTGAAAAAAGCGATGAAGATCCGGGTAAAACACTTCCTAGCCAACACCGACTCAAATGTCAAATGTGTTGCAGTGTGAATTTTTTGTCTATTCTGTTCGAATTTCACTTCTCGAGTTTATCCTCCATGAAGCGTTGAAATAAATGTGACCATATCACCATCACTGAGCTCAGTTTTCAGCCCACCTAACAATTCCCAGTCAACATCATTGACCAGCACCAATATTCCAGGCCTTACGGTGTCTTTCTCAATCAACAGGTTTGTCCTGAAACTGACTGAATTAAAAGAGGAATCATTCATCGCCTCCCATAAGCTTTTTAGTTTACATTCGAACACAACAAATTTTTGTTGTAATGAGAAAGTGAACCGTCGAGAATTCGTAACTAGACTTCAAACGTATCACTCACCTGTCTTTATCTTCGATAAGATTCTCTTTAATAAACGTCAACAAATCAGACAGAATAAACGAATCGTTCGTCGGTATTTCGAGTTGATGCGTTTTCTTCTTACCAAACAGAACCTCAGCACCGCCGCAAAATTCAACTTTCAAATGACGAACACCCATGCTAAATTGCATTTTAAACTTCAGGCATGATTAAGAGGAAGATCGCTTGGGAGAAAAAATATTTGTGAATGAATTATCTTCATCTAGATTTAACGAATACAGTGGAGGATATAGATATGATCAAACCATTGGAGCACTAGCATGCAGTGATGTAGACAGGATTCTTTTAGGGAAGGGAGGGGAGCAGGTGTGGAAAACACCCTGGTTCCAAAAAAACGGCAGAAGTTTGACGTGGATCCTACGTATTCTTTCAAGTTTGTTTTTCCACTTCCCCCTTATTTATCCCACTTCCTTCTCCCTTCCCTCCTTTATAACCATGCTAGCATGTAAATCAGACTCTTAGCTCGATATTGAAACAGACGATACAAATTATACGAAGCGAAATTGTCATAAATGTGACAATAAATTGTAGTCACAGCAATTAACGACAGTAGGTAAACTCTAATCATTAAATAATTAATCAATAATTGTGGCCATAATTATCAGTAACCGTTAGCATTACTCCCATTAAAAGTCAATTGCAAGGGTCTACGACAATCTGCTCTACGATAATGTGCTATCGCGACAATTTGCGCGTGCCTCACCATTGAGTAGCACGGTGCTATTGTCGGAGTTAGACGTGTCGTGGATGCATTTGTGGTCATCCACGACCATATGGTCTTTCGCCACAGAATGTGTCCTCTTGTATGGCGAACGTACGCACATTTCTCATTAGTTATCAGGTGATAAAACACTGAATTGATAAGATGCTTGTTTGAGTTCATTTAGGTACTTTTGATGTCAAGGGGTGCGCATGCTCTTTGGTGTTTGACACCAACCCTTGGTGTACGCTTAGTCTTATGCTGAGGCTGCCCCCTTTCCATCTTTCGATGGGCGTTCACATAGACAGACAACGAAATGAGTTTTACTGTTAAAGGATAACCTTTTCAGCAAAACTAATAAGCAACGCGATATGAAAATATTTTCTCCAATTAATTCAAACTATTCAGCAGCATATAGACAAAGTTGCTGTACAGGGGTTACCCCTTAACGGCAAAACTCGCTTCGTTGTCTGTCTATGTGAACGCCCATCGAAAGAGAGAACAGGGATAGGGAGCACGACAAATGACCAAGCGACAATTGTTAGCACGACGTTTGTCCAACACGTAGTCGGTCACGCAAACTAAGATTAGGCTTAGGCTGAGGCTAAGCCTCAGTAATACGCGTTTTATACCACACGCACAAAATGGTGAGCATGCGTTCGCATTGCTCAAAAAGCGGATGTAAACGAAGTTTGTGTGACCAACTACTTGTTGGCTAAATGACGTGCTGACAGTTGTGGCTTGGTCAAGTGTCGTAGACATCTTAGCATAAGGGTGTGGGTAGAAGAAGCCAAATTGCACTTTCGTACGCGCGCGGGCC